GTTATCTGAATGAAGAACTTTGATTGGAACACCAAATTGTGTACGTATTTCAGGATAGAATTTTTAAAAAATGGAAAATAATTTACTCCTTTCTTTCATTAAATAAATCCATGTCATCCTTGAACAATCGTTAATAAAAGTGACAAAATACTTGTAACAATTATAAGATTCTATTTTAATCAAACCCTAAACATCTGAATGAACCAAAGCAAAAGGACTCAGCATATGACTATCAACTCTAGGACTGAAGGGAACCCGATGATGTTTCCCATACTGACACGACTGACACTATAAAGACAACAAATGACTCAAAGATGAAACCAGCATCTTGAGTGCCTTGAGAGATGGATGTCCCAGTCGGCAATGCCACTGTAGAGGAGTGAGTAAAGTTTGAAGTGCAACTGACGATCCACCACCGTCAAGGTAATACAATCCACCAACCTCATGCCCCCCACCAATCTTCTTCCCCATCTTGAGATCCTGAAAAACACAAAAAGAAGGGAAAATATAATAGAGCAATTATGAGTCTTGGTTAATTAACTAACAGACATAAGATTGAATGGAAACTTAGGGACATATAGAACATATGATAAAGAAAGAGAAGCCGTGTCAACATTAACAATACCACAGATGGGAGAAGAGGAACCATTGGCAAGGATAACACTTTGAGATGTGGAAGTTTCAGAGAGGGAAGAGAACACACCTGGAGTCCCAGTCATGTGATCAGAGGCTCCAGAGTCAATAATCAATGGAGAGGGTTTGGATGCCAGACAAGCTATACCTGAATCAGCAAGGGTGTCTATAGTATTTTGTGAAGTAGTTTGGAGGAACCTCTCATACTCATCGCGTGGTACACTCACCATCTCCTTCCCGGAAACAAATGTAGATGAGGAAGGTGTTAGATCTGTCTGTTGGTTATCCCTGACATCAACCCCATTAGCTACTGCATGATTAGCCCATGTAGAAGGAGGGCCATGGAGATCATAATAGAAATTCACCGAATGTCCGTCCCTGCCACAATGGGTACACTTCCTTGTAGTTACTTTTTCTTTTACCACGGCCTCCCCCTGAGTCACGACCACCACAACGGCCAAATATGGAACCACCACAACCTCCTCGGGAGGCATGTTCTCCCCCTCTAGTACCACATCCACCTCCTCTAGCTATCACAAATGTTGATCTGTCAGATTGTGTGGGATTCTCTGTAGATCCCAAAGAAATTCTACGAAGCCATGCAAAAACTTCCTCAAGTGTAGGAAGAGTATAGCCTCCCAATATTTGGGCCCTAACTGGTTCATTTTCTGATTTCAACCCCATTAAAAACCTAGTAACATCTAGTTGTTCCTTTTGTTGTTGCTGAACCTTAACATTTGGAGTGAGGGGATGATAGACATTGAGTTCATTTATGAGGTTCTTCATACTGGCATAGTACTCTTCTAGGGTTTTATTCCCTTGCTGCAGATCGAAATACTCCTGACAGAGTTGATATACCCTTGTAGTATTATCCTACCTAGAATAAAGCTTCTTGGCATGTTCCCATATGTCCTTAGCTGTATCTAAGAACATAAAGTTGGTACTTATTTTGGATTAGCTGATGGTTTATCCTCCTTCACGTGTTTCACTTTCCTCTTTGCCTTGAGGAAAACTTTCACTGACTTGGCCCATGGCACATAATTCTCACCATTAAGTTTAATGGAGGTCATCTACACACCCAAATAATCAAAGGGGATCATCACACTCGGTTTCTGAGCACTAGAACCATCTCCCGTTGCAGCCATTATGTCTCCCCCACTGTTATCTCTAATGCTGAACTCTCAGTCACCAACCAAATATTACAGCAGCCAAGGCAACACTACAACAGTCTCTAAACTCAGGAGATAGGTTCACAACAAGTCACGATCAGTCACCACTGTGCACAAACTACCATTCAGATTAAGAGCAAAAGGTAAACCGACATTCAGACAACACCAACAAGGCAGAAAATTGATGTAGGCAATTCGGCCATCTTTCTAGCCCCCCCCCCCCCCAAAAAAAAAAAAAACAACTTTTGTTCTTGCTCACACCACTACTGATTACATAGAGCCATAAATCATCACTACAGTAACCCTTACACCATTTGGTCACTGTAAACACAACATGTTCTTGGGCCTTTTGCCAAGAACAAAGGCTACAAATAACCTAGTTCTTTAAGTTCTTATCAGTTTGAGCAGATTTTTGAGGGTTTTTCAACCCAGAAACACCAACAACACAAAAAAAAGGATAACCAACCTTGATGGAGAGCTTCAGTCAACCATCCACTTATTTCTGGAGTTATTCTCTTGAAAGACAATCAAGTTCTGAGCAGAGAAAGAGAGGCCGAAGTGTTCTCAGACCTAGGTCGAGTCTGTGTTCTCCATTTGCAGTCCAAAGAGAAGAAAAAGAAGTCACGAACAGAAAGGAGCAACAGTCACGAGCAAAGATTTGAAGAACAACGTCCTACTCAGATACCATGTTATCTCAGTGGCTTCAGCAGTTCGAACCAGAGGAAGAAGAAGAAGAAGAAGAAAAGGGAACAGTCGAATCTAATTGCATAAACCCTATCAGTCAACCCTAATATGAATTAGCCTCTAATTAGTTGTACAAAGACTAAACTGCCCYCCACTTAAGTATGGGACAAGAAGTCTCTATTAAAACTGCCACATAAGCACATAACTTAACATAAATAAAATGACTAATCTACCCTTATTCGGTTAGCTCTAACACAGGTTATCGATCATTTGCTTGACTAATAGGGAACAATTGCTTTACATCAACAGTGGTATCTTCGTCAACCCTTTGCTCTTCGTTACTGCTTCTTGTGCCTTCTGGTCTCTAGACAAATGGTAGATGCCCTAGAGGATCACCACCATATGCTCTGTTGACATGTTCAATACTTTAAGCATTCTTTGTAGAATCGCTGTTATACACATTGGATTGTCGCATATGGCTGCGTGATCCTCTAGACACATTGAAACCATCTCCAGTAGCTTTAGAACTTTACTAGCAAGAGAAATGTCGATGCCTAAATGAGCGAGCAGCTTTTAGAGTACCTAAATGATTATGAGTCGAACATCTTATAATTTGATTCGTCTTAACATCGATACAATGATCAAGCAAGATAATTTGACCTCGATTGCAATTGGATCTATCTCAAAAGTCATTAGATGGATTATCCCAGGCAAGAACCCTTCCTTCTTGGTGATTAGAAGCTTGGATTCACTGGTGCTGACAGTTGTCGTTATAGAGAGAGAATCGATACCAATAGATGGTTGAAAAGAGGGGAATGTTATTGGAGTTAGGAAAATAATGCCAGAGAGAAACAAAAATAGATGCTAGACATATGTATCGGATATTCATCCAATCTCTAGAGGCTGGAGCGGTGGAGGTGTGGAGCCCAAGCCTTCAAAAGTTTGGATTTGGAAGTTTTAGATGAAAGGAATGAACCTTCAAACTAATTGGTTTTGTCTAGTTTTGGTCCATTCTATGCATGGACGATTTATGTTTGGCAGTCCAAGTCCATACCATCCTTCGTACCCCCAATCGATCCATAACATTTTCAATTTGGATGGGGTCCAACTCGAAACCGGTCCATTGACACCCTTACCCGGAAGTGCATTTTCTTAGGGTATGCCTCTACACAAAGGGTTATTGTTGTTTTGATCCCACTTTGGAACTCGTTTTGTCTCCATGGATGTTACCTTTGCTGAGTCACTTCCGTTTTATGGTCATTTTTCAAAGGGGGAGCATTCCATTGAGTTGTTGGCTTCACCACTTCCTCTGCCTTCTCCTATTGATTTTGGAATTAAGTCACCTGTAGTTGCTTCTTTCTAGTAGTAGGGCCTATGTCTCCCAGTTCTTCTATACCTACTCCTCCTACTAGTTCTCCAATTTTCATTACTGATCCTACTATTTAGAGGTGGTACAAAAGACAAAGACTACAATGTGAACATGTTTTTCCACATCTATAGTTGAGCCTCAGACACTCTCAACCCTTAAAGAGATGATAAATCCTTCACCACCTACTCCAGAATCTCCTTTCCCAAGCTTGGACCTACCTATTGTTGTGAGAAAAGGTAAGAGGAAATGTATAACATATTGTATTCTCAAACACCTATCCTATTGCTTGTTATCCCTATCTTATTATTCCTTCTTAGCCTCCATTTCTTCTTCGCCTATACCTGAGTCAATTATAGAGGCCCTGGCTAAGTCAGAATGGAAGGAGGCTATGAGACTTGAAGTAAAAGAACTTCATAAAACTAATATATGGGATACTGTGGATTTGCCTCATAGGAAGGAACCAGTAGAATGTAAGTGGGTGTTTATTATCAAGCATTATGCTGATGGCACCATTGAGAGGTATATAACTGGGTAGAAACTAAGGGGTATACCTAGGTATATGGAGCCAAAAAAACTGCTTTAAATGTTTGGTAACAACTGCTTTCAAAATGAAGCCAAAAGGTCCAAAATACTTTTAAAGTTGGTCAATGTTTTTAATGCTTGGTGACAATTGCTTTTAAAAACATAACAATATTAGGAAGCCAAAACACTTTGAAACTTTGTGCTTTTGGGCTTTGAAGGCAAAAACTCTTAAGGCTCAGTATGGAAGGAGTATAAATACAAATTTATAAAATATAAAAACTTATATTTTGTATTATTCAGTATGCATTTGTACCGTAGGTATTTGTATTTGTACTCTTTCCAAATTAAGCTTAAAATTTATCAAAACGGAAAATCTAAAATTTATGAACCTTACCAAAATCTATATTCACATGGTACCGGAAAAGTTTTGAACAAATTATATCACTCCGTGAATTTTGATTAATACCTGATTGGTTATGAATGATCCTTCATGGTAAACTTTTCCTATATCATACATATATACTTTTCCGGTAGCATAGTGGAACCTCCGCAACCTTATTATCTATTTATCTTGATAAAATAAAGGGAATATCAGCAATTAATTTTGATTGAGCGTTTGATTTTGACCTTCCCGAGTAGGATTTGGACAATTGGACCCAGCCCTTGTAGACGGACGCTGGGTGTACGGGTTCTTCCCGTCCTCCATTTCTGGTTTGCGGAGAAGGGAACGCATTTTGCCAGCTGTAGCTTTAAATTCTGATCCATTTGAATTGAATTTTCCGAGAGTTCAAAAAAGGCCGCAGAAGAGAACCAATCAACCAATCCTCTCATCTCTGACGATCAAATTACACTTGCAGAACAAGAAACAGATTGAAGTCTTTTTTTATTTTTTCAGAATCTCTTATTTGCGAGCGAATATTTGTTCAGATCGATCTGTATGCATAACTTAGGATTCTCGTCTGAAGCTTCTCTACATGAACGGAAACCTTGAAAACTTCATAAATCTAGGGCAGATATAAACCCTAGAGAGAAAGATACTGGGAGATATATAGATTGATGGATCCAGAGCAGACTTTCATTCGAGTTCAAGAGCGGTTCTCGCAGATGCTGACTCCAAGAATCCGTGCTGCTCTTGAGTATGTCTATCTCGTGGTTGCCATCGCTTTGTTCTGTTTGTTGGTCGTCATGCATGCCAATTATGTTCAGCAGGTAAGGGAAGGCTCGACTCTCGACTACGATTGTTTGATGTTAATTTAGTTGCTTCTATGTATGGATTGCTGATATGGCAAATTTTGATTTCTCTTCATCTTTTTGGTTGTGAATTCTAGGGACTGGAAGTCTCTTCTGAATTTTGGGGCCCAAATAACATTTCCTTCTAAAACCTAACATGCAGACACATACTCATGTATACATATGTATGCATTTACATGCATAAAGACATCACTAAATGTGCTATTGACTATTGAGGCTTCCTAAATTTTCAGAGCTCATATTCAGTACCCCTTGTTCTATCTTAAGTCTCAGTTTTTTCTCCTATTCCTCGATTTGTTTACTAAATTTGGCTTTTAGGTGCCAACATGATTCAATATGGATATTGACACAAGATACTGCATAATACTTATTGATGTATTATTTTCAAATTTTATTCTCCTATGTCCTAATGATGTAGGACCAGCTCAGTTCTAGTCCTTAGAGAATGTTGAATGGTCTTCTTTGATCAGAAATTTGTGGCTGTTGATGGCTGTAATGGCTTCTTGAAGGAATAAGAGAGAAAATAGGGATAGAAAGAAGAGAGAAAAATACCTGGAATCACTCACAGGGTGCCTAGAATCACTTTAGGGCATGGGAATCATTCACCATAGTTAGCATAAGCTGAAGAAAACTCATAAGCTCCATTGCTCTTTGTGTAAAACATTCATACATATTTATAGACTCTAAACTCGTAATAATCCTAGGAGTCAAAATGTTAGACTCAATAATCCTAGTAGGACTCAAACTAAGCTGTCATATCCTATTTCAATTCAAAGAAGACTCAATAACTCTAATCCTATTTATGCAATGGCTTTGAAATTTTAAACATAAACAAACTATAAATAGACAATCAAACCCTATTATTGGACCCTACAGAAAAATTGTAAAATGGAAAAAATACCTTCCTGTCTAAAAATACAGAAATACATAAAATTTCATAAAATTCCAATTTTGACTCTTCAGCTCCTGCATCATTTGCCTCCGGTTCAAAAAAAAAAAAAAAAAAACTCGTCCTCGTGTTTTGAAGAACTTGAGGATGAGAAGTTGACATGCCCCAATTACAAAAGGAGTAGGACTTCCCATAGCTACATGCTTGGACTGTAGAGGAGAGGCAACACATAGAACTAGAAAAGCATTTTGAAAGAAATGTATTTCTGAAACACTGCCTTCCATAACCATCTTTGTTAAATCATCAATAACGTTAGTTTCTTGAACACTTAATTCATCAACCAGTTACTGTGATGAATCTTCCCCTCGCTTATCTAAACACTCAATTGAAACATTTGGAACTTTCCTTCAACCTCTAGCTTAGGAATCGCCATCTTTATGTATTTTGCTATCCTTGGTTTTTCAACAAACTCTAGGACTCCTTCCATTGTTGATGTTGGTGGAACTTGTGCTATGTCAGGTTGTAATTCTTGAATTAGTTCTAGTTGAACTTGTAAGGTAAAGTCACTTACTTCCTTACTAGGATCTACTACAATCAACATATTTGTATTTTCTTCTTGATCATTAACCTCAAGCTGATCATTCCAACAATTTTTGTTTTTTCTTGGCCTGCACCCTCTTGATTTTTAATTTCTACAACTTCTATAGCTTGAAATTCTTCTTTTTTAGCTTCATCCTCAACTTCTGCTCTAGGATATGCATCAACATGCAAGGAATCATCTACTTTCTTTTCTACTTTGTACCTTCTTCCCATTGACTTCAAGTTCTTTGTTCTAACCTGCTGCTTCTTTTGCTCGAAATTAGTCAACTCCATATATAGATCATCATGGAAGTCTAGTGGGATGTGCTTTTCTTGCAAACACCTCTTTATCTCCACCCATGTACTAATTGGATCATTGCCTCCATGTTCTAGTCGTTGCTTAAGAGTTCTCCACCATACTTTAGCATGACCTGTTAGCTTCATGCGATCAAATCTAATCCTTTGTTTGTCAAACATATCATGCCAAACAAAATATTCTTCTAGTTCAGAAACCCAATCAAAGAATGCTTGCGGATCAACATCTCCTTCGGAATTTGGTATTTCCCTTTCTCTTCTAACATGTTTGAAAACATTACTCCCATAGCTGACATTATTAGATTAGTTTTCTTCGACCATCTTCTCAAATAAGTCAACCAAAGACCCTTCATATGGTTCAATCATCATTGATTTTAGACCTGTAAGATTGTTTAGAAGATATCCTAGGCCTATAGAATCAGCCACTTTGTGAGAACATAGTGAATAAACCATTAGCTCTGATACCAAACTAATGTAGGACCAACTCAGTTCTAGTCCTTAGAGAATGTTGAGTGGTCTTCTTTGATCAGAATTTTATAGCTGCTGATGGTTGTAATGGCTTTTTGAAGGAATAAGAGAGAAAATAGGGATAGAAAGAAGAGAGAAAAATACCTCGAATCACTCATAGAGTGCCTAGAATCACTCTAGGGCATGGGAATCGCTCAACATAGTTAGCACAAGCTGAAAAAAAACTCATAAACTTCATTGATCTTTGTGTAAAACGTCTATACATGTTTTTATAGATTCTAAACTCATAATATATCTAGGAGTCAAATTGTTAGACTCATAATAGTCCTAGGAGTCAAAATGTTAGACTCAATAATCTTAGTAGGATTCAAACTAAGCTGTCATATCCTATTTCAATTCAAAGAAGACTCAATAACTCTAATCCTATTTATGCAATGACTCTGAAATTTTTAACATAAACAAACTATAAATACACAATCAAACCCTATTATTGGACCCTACAGAAAAATTGTAAAATGGCAAAAATACCCCTACTGTCCAAAATACAGAAATACATAAAATTTCGTAAAATTCCAATTTTGACTCTTCACCTCCTGCATCATCTAACTACCGAATACTTATATATTTATTTTATTATTTTATCAAAACAAGCATATGAAAGGTATATTTTAACTGAAATTTCCATAAGAAACTTAACTTCATAGATGTTGGAACTTGGAAATACATTTTATTTAGGACGATATGTATTGGAAAAGATAAAGAGCTAAAATACTAAAATTAAAAACTCGGTTTCATGATATCAGATGGGATGCTCATTTCCATATCTATGTCTTAGGTTTTGAAAAAGTAGTCATCCACATATCCTGTATCAGTGTCTGTATTGCAATCAGTATTTGGGCATCTTAGCCTGCAAGATTTACCTTGAACCTACTATTCTCTCTTATGCTTGTTAGGAGATGATTTGATCAAATTACAAGTTTGATATGATCCCCTTTTTTGCTCCTCCTTGCCTTTGGCATATTAGGATGGAACCCACGATCTTGTCCTGTAGCTATCCCAGTGTGCCACTGTATGGCAGAATTATAAATATATTCTAAAGAAAAGATATTGGTGTTTATAGAGGGAAGGATAATTTTTATAGGGGGTTTTGGTGCTTTGTGTGCATTCTAGACATTAATTTGGTTTTTTTACTTTTGAATTTTATACTAATATGTTGGTTTTCATAGAACTGTAGATTTAGATGTCTTAATAATGTTCACTTGATATTTTGCATTTGAAGCCTGGATGTTCAAGTGAGCTTTCTGGAATTGAATCATCTGAAGCCCAACTTGTTCAAATCAAGGTACTCAACTTTCTTCTTGGTTTATTACCAAAAATAATATTTGCTTGTTGGTTGATATATCTTCAGGTGTTCTTATTCGGTTCTATTTTGAATAGTTGCTTCTTCGAATATATTGATCTTATTGCACCATGCTTGGAAGTTGTTCTGCATAGCACTGGATGATTCCATTCTGATTCTTCTTCATCATATGCTATTGTTCATATTGAATGGTATTTAATCATGGTGTCTCTTTTAAAATGCTATTATCTCTCCCACACCGAAGTGCAATACTTTCAGATGATGAGGCACATTAACCATGATAAGGTGTATATTGATGGTTTCCAATATAATCTCATTTTGCATTGCTTTCTGTCACTATGCCACGGTTGCCAACTTGTTAGAAACTTGGCATTTTATTCAAAGTTCAAGAACATGGGGATTTTTTTTTTAAAGATGAGTGAAATGGATAATGGGCTGCTTGAAATATTGTCATTGCTTGATATCAGTAAATGGTGTAATAAGAGATTTTTTTCCCTATGAAGAGGGGATCATTGTTCTTGTTTACCCAATCACCATGTCTTTGGTAGACTTATATATAGTGGATTGATGAGATGGGATGATGGGGAGAGAGAATATGTGTCACTAACAATTATCATTTTCTGTTGTATGAATTCACTCTAAATCAGCTTCTGAATTAATAAGTTTATTATCATTCATCAAAAAAAAAAAACAAATTATCATTTTCTGTGAGGACAGTTAGCTGGATGGAATGCAAAACTTACATTCCTTTGCCAAATGCTTAGAGGGGATTACAAACTTAAGGAAAAGTTGTCCAGTGGGTATCAATATAGAAGAGTTGGTGGTGGAAAGGTATGCTGAAGTTTTAGGGTGTGAAGTTGGTGCTTGGCCTTTTAAATATTTAGATCTACCCTTAGAAGGAAATCCTAGAGCCAATAACTTTCAGAATCCTATTCTTGATAGATTTTCTAAGAAGTGGGCTGCTTGAAAGAGAAAGTACATTTCCTTATGGGTTAGAATTTCTCTCATTCAATCCATCTTGTCCAACCTGCCTACATACTTTCTGTCACTGTTCAAGATTCCAGCCTCTGTAACTAAGAAATTAAAGAAGATAATGAGAGATTTTCTTTGGGATCCTGTTGACCAATAAGTACCACCAAGCCAATTGGCTTACTGTGTGCTTGCAAGGAGAATTGGGAATATTGGGCTTAGGAATGTAGCTCCACTAGGGAAGTAGATATAGAGATTCCCAATGGAAAGAAACAATTTGTGGGATGCTGTGAGAATATCTATGGCTTGATGGCCAATCAATGGGATGTTGGGTTAATTGCTGGATCCAAAATGCTTGTTCCTGGAAGGCCATTTCATCTATATCCCACCTATTTGTTCATCATATTTGTTATGAGGTTCTTGTAGGAAACAAAACCAAGTTCTGATCGGATTTGTGCAGTGATTTAAAAGGCACGCCTAGGCACACAGTGCATGGCACTTTCAAAAGGTGCGTGCCTGGTGCACCTTGCACTTCATCCAGTTGCATGCTTTTTGAAAATTTGCACATTCTTTTTATTTTTTTTCTTTTTTTTTATGCCTAGATTCTGGGCTGGGGGCTCTGCCCCTAGACCCCCAATCAAGCCCCTTGAGGCAAGCCCAAGCAAGTCCATATAGGGTCCTAGCTTCTTAATCCCTAATTAGAAAGATTTTATATCTTTAATTGTTTTTTAAAATTATCTTTTATTAGGATGAATGAATGAGCAAAGTTAGCAAATATAGGGCATCGAAAACCCCATATTTGCTAATGTTGCTCATTGCCTCATTCATTCATCTCAATAAAAGATATTTTTAAAGGACAATTAAAGTTATAAAATATTTTTTTATAGGATTAAGAATTTAAGACCCTGATATGGACTTGTTTGTGCTTGCCTCGAAGGGCGTGGTAGAAAGGCGGTCTGTAGAATTAGGAATGCATAATGTTTAATATCACATTAGCTATTTGAAGTAGTGCAATTGGGAAAAGAGCAAAGAGATTGAGAGTTTTACATGCTTGAATATGTTATGCTTGATTTTATTTTTAAATTTTCATTTTAAATATGTTTTACATGTTATGTTTTTGTATTTTAAATTGGGTCAATAGGTTTTTTTGAAAACATTTATTTTAAAATTTAAGTTTATATTTTTAATTAATATTATGTTTAATATATATATATTTTAATTTCTTGCCTTTTCTTGATATTTTGCATTTTTTGAAAACTTTTAGCTTTTTTTTTTTTTTGCATTTTTCGTCTTGCTTTAAAAAGGCATGTGCCTTGCACCTTGGGTGCAAAATGCCCCTTATGCTTTTTTTCCTTGCACTTTGAATGCAAAAAATGGGTTAAATTTTGCATTCATGAATCGGAAAGAGAGTATTTATGCAAAGTACATATTTGCGTTTGCATCGTAACAAAACACAGCCTAAAAGATAAATTGCACCATATTTTCTCACTTTTTGTCAAGAAAGATGCCTTGGTCTCAAATTGTATTTCCTCTTCTGCACCAATATCTAAAATGGTGTGGGAGGTGTGTGCTTGGAGGCATGCCTCTGGGCAAGGTGCTCTCAAAATGCCCTGAGGTGCATGCTGGAGGTATTGGTGGCTTGATGCCTTTGAGGCATATGCCTCAAACTTTTTTGCATGAGGTGTATGCCTCATGCATGCCTCATACAGAAAGAAAAAAAGAAAAGAAAAGAAAAGAAAAGAAAAGAAAAGAAAAGAAAAGAAACCAGATAAAAGGAAAGGAAAGGAAGTTTGTGCTAGGGGCTCAACTCCCTGGCCTCCTTGGTTAGGGGGCTTCATCCCCCAAACCTTGCAAAACCTTTCTGATGCAAACTAATTTGGTATTTTGTGCTAGGGGTGTCTTGCTCTGCTATGGTTTGCTCATTTTCAGCTAGCATTATAGATCTTCATTCTTCTTAATACAGAATATCTTTCATCAAAAAGAAACAAGAAAAGCAAAAACTCCTCCTCCTCTTGAGGAGGCTTACGCCTCTTGCGTTTACTTTTGATCAATAATAGAATCAATTTCATTATTTAGAAACAAGTACAAAGGATGAAAGAAAGGGAGAGAGAAACAATTCTAGGCCTCCCCAATAGAAATTTCAGTTACAACATAGCCCAAAATAAGATGCTCCTTCCCACCCCTTGTTTGGGAAGTGTGTTAGCAAAAGCATTGGTAATGCAGGAGCTGAAGAATCAAATTTGGAATTTTCTTAATTTTTTTCGTATTTTTGTATATTTGGACAGTATGGGTATTTTTGTCATTTAAAGGCGATAACATCTTATTCCTCTAGTTTGGTAGGGCTTGTCTTTCAATTTTCAGTTTATTTGTATTATTAGATAGAAAGTTATTGTGTTTCTTGATGCACAAGACAAGGAGTGGCATTTTTGTAATTGTGATGAACAGTATTCCGGGCCACACAACTCACTCTATAAATAGATGTATTCTCTTCCTTTTGAAGCTAATGAATGAATGAAGATTTCTTAGAGCAAGTTTGCTGTAGGGAGTGATTCCTACAAACCCTAGAGTGATTCTAGGACCCCCTTGGAGTGATTCTTTTGGATTTGTCTCTCTTTTCTCTTCTCTACCCTTTCTCCTCTCTCTTCCTCTCTCTTTCTGTCTTGTGTGATAGTCTATTCTAGCCTAACTACATCAGTTTTGGTATTAGAGCTAATGGTTAGTTATCATGTTCTCACAAAGTGACCGATTCCATGGGCCTAGGATATCAATTAAACAATCTCATGGGTTTGGAATCAAAGATAGTGTTTTTGAACCATATGAAGGGTCTATGGTTGATTTGCTTGAGAAGTTGGTGGAAGAAAGTAGATCTAGTGATGTCGGCTATAAGAGTAAGGTTTTCTAGAATGTTAGAAGAGAAAGGAAATTGCCCAATTTCAAGGGAGATGAAGACTGGCAAGCATTCTTTGATTGGATTGTTAAACTAGAAGAATATTTTGATTGGCATGATATGTTTGAAAAACAAAGGTTTAGATTTGCATGTTTGAAGCTCGCGGGTCATGCTACAATATGGTGGAGAACTCTTGAGCAACGACTAGAAAATAGAGGTGAATATCCTATTACCAAATGGGCAGAGATGAAGAGGTATTTGCAAGAAAAGTACATTCCACAGTACTTCCATGGTGATCTATATGTGGAGTTAACTAATCTCAAGTAAGGTATGCTATCTATAGTTCAATATATGCATAAGTTTGATGAATTAAGTAGAAATCACTGTTTGTAAATCAGGATGAATTCCTTGTGAAGAGAAAGAAGAAGATGAAGAGTTTCAGCAGTAGAGAAGAAAAGAGAGGAAAGAAAGAGTGGGATGTTAACCAGAATTGAATTAGTTCTGGCTGCCAACCTGCCATTATATTTTATACTTAACTTAAAAGAATGCCCTTAGTAGGGCGGCTACTAAAGTAGCTGAACAGTCACAACTTAAAAAACATAAGCTAATGGATCTAAAGCCCAACAACATCCTAACTTAACAACTTAAAATAAGAACAAAACAATTGGGCCCAATAACTAGAAATCGGCCCAACTCAACACTCCCCCTCAAGTTGGGAGTAAATGTCACACATTCCCAAATTGCATAGATCATGCTCCAGCTTGTTCCTTGCAACATCTTTTGTGAGAATGTCAACAAGCTGCAGATCAGAAGCAATGTATGGGAGACAAACTTCCCCAAAAATCACCCTTTCTCTGATGAAATGTCTATCCACTTCAATGTGCTTAGTCTGGTCATGTTGAACTGGGTTATGGGCAATGTTAATTGCTGCCTGGTTATCACAATACAACATCATAGGTTCTTCTGCTTGTACACCAATCTCTCCCAATAGGGAACGGATCCAGAGAAGTTCTGAAACTCCATGTGCTATGGCCCTATATTTAGCTTCAGCACTTGATCTTGCCACCACTGTCTGTTTCTTACTCTTCCACGAAACAAGGTTACCCCCAACAAGGGTGCATACTCA